TCCTACGAAAATATAGAAAATTTGCGAAAAAAAGAGAAAATGCAGGTTTTCCTCTTAAAATAAAAAAATGTAGTATTTCCTAGTAAAGTACAGAACTAAGCCCCAAACCCTGAACAAAAATGAATTCCCAAAAAAAGAAAAAGAATTCCCAAAACGATTCCTGGCCCCTTCACTATTGCATGTCTCTTGCTTGGCCGCTGATTATGTTACTGTAGGTGTCATTGGCGGCGCGAGCGATTGTTTCGTGTCGATGTTTCTGTCTGCTCCGCCTGCACCAGGCCAACCAGCAGAAGACGCACAAGCAGTTCATGCTCTTGCACGGCACGCGCTGGGATTATGCACCCCTGATTGTGGAAAATGGTTTGGACCCAACTTGTGGGCATCTCACAAAAGGGACGTGGCTTGGCGGAATCGCAGAAAAGGCACATTCCTATGCTGCCAAAGGGCCAGGCCCGGAGGTCGAAGAGAATCCGGGAATGCGACTCTTTACCTTATTCGTGGTAGCTGTTGTGCCTGACATCAGCGATGGCGATGACGAGAGATCCTTCGGAGTGTGGCGAATCCAGTCTGGTCGTCGGCTGTATACAGCCTACCAGGTCATTTACTCTGCCCCGATGGACTTGCGCAGAAAGGCGCCTTTGATCGTCCCACGGTCCAATAAAGCAGTGCTACTTCGCAAGCAGAGTTATGACAAGATTGAGACACTACCATCGAGCCGGACTGGTCGGTGCCGAAGTGCCAGCCCCCCGAGACGATCAACTTCTCCTGAGCTGCCCGTCGCGCTTCCTCTGGATGTGCCGAAGCCCACAACGGTGACCCTGAAGGACCAGAAGGAGCTTGATGCAGTCAGCAGTTGGCCATTGGACGGTATGCGCTTGGGTGGCTTTCGGGGCGCCTGCACTTCCCCTGCCCTGAAGGACGGGGGTTAAGTCTTGTGAGGTGATGTGAAACAGCTTGCTTTCGATCTGCAGGTACATCAGCCTGGGGCGGAGCCTTCTCGAGCAGTCTTCCGCCGAGCCTCGGCCCCGAAGGTCGTTGAGGCGGCAGGGCCGGTTGCCCCAAGCGCCAAGGGCATCACCGAGCACCGCGACCGGGCCCCACCGAGCCCCGCCTCTCGTAGTCCCTCTGGTGGGGCACAGTCCCCCAGCCCCAGACCTTCTCGCACCTCTCCTGCGTTGAAAGTACGGCAGCCCGAAGCAAGGCCGCCTCCAAGCCCACGCACCCAGGCCCGACCCCTTGATCTCGGTCCGCCAGCACCCAAGTGGGAAGTCCTCCTGGATGATGGATGGGTCCCGTTCTGCCCCGGAAGCAAGTTCAAAGATGATGCGGGGACCAAGGTGAGTATTTGTCATGGCCAGTTTTGGTACACTCTTACTTTCGATGCCAACGGCACCACAGGAAAGCAAGCAAACCAGCGCACTGGTAAAGTTCGTCAACTTCGCAAGGTGCTGCCTGAGACTGGAGTCGCTTGGCACAACCGGCAACCCTTCTGTTCCGGGCAGGGGCGCAGTCCTTTGCAAATCCCTGCACCAAGGCGAGCATCTCAAATGAACAGATTGCAGCGACCACTGAGCACAATGCTCCAGAGTCTGAGCAGAAGCCGGCAGTGGCGCCTCGCCCTTCGAACCCCAGCCTCCAGCAGTGGGCTGTACTGTGCGTTGCATCGCATCTCACGCTCACTTCTGCTGAACTAAGGCCGATGCTTGGTTTCCGAGTTTGCTGAGTTCCAGTTCTCCTGTTAAACAGGCGACTTAGGCAGTCCCTGATACACCATCGGTGCTCAGTGGCCACTTCCGAAGACACGTTTAGGCTGCGCTAGGGAGCCACACATTCGGTCAGATCTGCAGTATGCTACATGGTGTCAGCGGTTCTGGCTACGAATCCTTGATGTACAGCTTGTCAAGGCGAACACAGCCCTTGGCAGCTGTTTCTCACAAAGGCATGATACTGGCATGTCTTTGAATAGCAGCTGTCCACACAAGCCTGGACACACTGCTCCTTATTCCTAGATGGTGAATGTCGAGGACGGAAATCCGGGCTTTATGCCAGACACAACAAGAAGACCTCAGACGGACTCCGACATTCAACCAGGGGGAAGCCAAGGTTGCGGGCAAGTTAAGCTTGCGCACGGGCTTACCTTTTTTTGGATCCTAGCACCGACCTGGCATGAAAGAATGATCGCATCTCTGTTGTCGCCTCTCGCACGACATGAAGAGAGCTGTGCTAAGCTCGCAGGGGGATGACACCGTGCCACTGCTTGCGACAGCTTTATGGTTCAGGCCTAGGGCTCTCAAGCAGGACAAAGTTGCTTGTGGAATCATGGAGGTGTTGGTAGCTGCCCCAGACTCTGAGGCTCAGCCCGTTGAGTGCTCGTCGCCGACCCCGGCGGCCCGACCTCGACCCAACCCCAGCTACGGACCCAGCAACTCTGCCCGCCGTGCGAACCGCCACCGAGGAACGTCTCCGCAGGAGCCTTCCTTGAGTGGAAGCCCTTCCCGACCCAGCACCGCACCGACTCCCGAACTCAAGAGCCTCCTGACCTCCACGCCACGGTCAAACCGTCAGGCGTGCCCAAGTCAGGATCCTAAGGGGGAAACCGCGTCACCAGTTACACGGCCCCGAATGGAACACTCTCCAGCCAAGAGTCGGCTTCAGGAGCACTCGCCTCACTCGCCGACCAAGAACCTGCTCAGCACTCCCAGCACATTGACGGCGAGTGCAAAGGCGTTGACTCCGAAAACGACCGTACCAAAGGACTACGCACGTTGCCGTGCCCGATCACAAAGTCAGCCGAAACGTATGGGGGACACCTATGACCTGGCCCGCTTCACGGACGCTCAGAAGGAGAATGAAACCTTCGACCGTGCCTTGAAGGAAATCCAGGCAGGCCGCAAGACGTCCTGCTGGATGTGGTTTGTGATCCCTTCGCCTCCGCACATGAAGAACAACATCGAGCATGGCAGCAGCCTGAACCGCAAGTACGCCATCAGGCCGGGCTAATTAAGGCCGCTAAGGCTGCTAAGGCTGAGGAAGGGGTACTGTATCATAGGAGGGATTGGGGATTGCCGCAGGTCCGACGAGGAAGGCCGGGCCTGGCTGAACTACGAGGCGGATGGTGTGGACCTGCGTGCAAACTATTTCGCCATCCTCGAGGCCCTTTGCGAGCATTTGGTGGCTGGGAAGGCAGCGCGTTCGGTGATCGGCAGTTTTGACGAGCCCAAGCTTGCGAGCTCAATTTTGTTCTTCGAGCGATTATCTCGCAGCGAAGACAACGAGCTAAACACCTTGCTCGTGAAGATAGCAGGCCTCATGGAGCTGCAGATCACGCCCTGAGCTGAAGTGCTGAAAGCACGCTGAAGGCACTCACAAGAGTTGAGTGACTTCATCGGCTACCCTTGGCTTAACCTTGGCCGTTTTTTTGCGCGGCAGAGGCGGTCACTGCGGGACCCACCTGTTTCGGCCTGGCATGTGACTTGACCGCCACTATTGGACTCCAGACGCTAGACCTCTCAGTCGAGGAAAAGGCGAGCACCTACACCTGACTGCACCATACTGCACCTACGGGGTTCTGCCGATAGAGCACCATCTAGAGCCAAGCACGCGACCAGCAGGCCATGCTGATGTTCCGCTTCTTTGCGACGTCGCCGGTCGTGCAGAGCGGGAAAAGGATCTTCCATGATCTTCCTCTTGCCAACATCTTCACAACACAAGCGTTTTGCTGTCACAACCGCTTTTTTCACGCACGCACTGTCTGGCTCCGAAGGACGATTTACTGACGTTTCAGAGAGCGAATCCATATAGGGTGGTGGCAGGTGCCGGGGCTATCTTCAGCCATGCCCCACAATGCCCTGTGGAAGAGGTTGCGATTTCATCTCTACGTACCCGTATGCGCCATTATGCACCCTTCCCTGATCTTCCCAGCCTGCACGGTACCATTTGCCCGGCTTGCCACCACCCAGAATCACGCCTTCATCGGCTATTACCAGCTTTTCGCAGCTTGGCTGGAGAGGATTTCACGTTGCTTGATTCCTGGCATTTGAATGGACCTCCGGTTCGTTTGTCAATGATTTCGGGGATCAGCACTGAGAAAAGGCGGCAAGACAGAGTTTGGATCAGGAAGCTTCATGCTGCGGACTTGCATTGCCATTGCAATCATCTGTGAAGCCAGGGCCCGAGACGTCCAGGTCGGCGGTTGGACTTTAACCTTTGACATTTTAGTGTTCAAGCCTCGGTGTGCTGACATCAAGGTGCACTCGAGACACTCCAGAGTTGAAGCCTCGAAACCCAAGACCAGTCACCACGATCTCAACTCAGAAGGCTTACCTCCCAACCCCAAGAAGACGAGAGGAAGTTCGACCTAGGCCCAACGGTCAGTAGGAAACTACGTTGACGTTCTATTTCCAAACCGCATGCGGACAATGGACCCAACGATCGGCGATGAGATACCTTGCCAGTGGCTGCCTGTGCCCATGACAGCCGGGTAGCATGAATGATACTGCTTGTTTCCTGCGGCTGTGTCCCGCCGAGTGAAGGCGGCTGATGATGTGGGAAATGCTGAATTAGTGCTTGCTGGTCTCCGGCATAGGTAGCGCCCTATGGGGCTTGCGTCGTTAGGTCATGAGTTCTGGAGGTGAGTCCTGCGCATGTTCATAGCGGCGATATGACGGGCACCATGGGTACATTTATAGCCTTTTTCCAACAGTTCCGCAACTACGGCCGTGGGTGCCTGCTGCTCACTATCGGTTTGGGATCATCGTGGGAGTTTGGATATGCCTATCCTGAGGCACTGAAAACATACTTTCTACAAGCATCGTGATCTGGCCGCTCTGCCCTATTCTGTCTTTGCAGACTTGAGGCTCTCACAACTCCTGCCAGACATGTGGCCAGTACCACAGTGTGCCGAAAGAGTCCGGTTCCGTACGGGCGCCCACGTTGACATGAAGAGCCCCTGTCTTGTTTTGAGGTGCCTTTACACAGGCAGAGGGTGCCTGTGCAAGGAGAGGATGATCGAATTTCGCTGGAGACTCGGGACGTCACGTGTTCATCGCCTGGTTTCCCAGGATTAGCTACTGTGGTAAATGGTGTGGAACACTTGTTTTCTTTCTGAGACTTTGGGATGAGCTGGTTAGCTGGAAGGTACAAGAGCGTCTACTTTGGGTCCGTAACCGTCGTGTCCTCAGCGTGCTCCGAAGGCTTCAGCTCGCATTGCATCCGCTTCTCCCAAGGTGGGCTCTCCTGAGCAGAAGTTCGCAGTAGTTTTCGACACCGGGTCTGGTAATGTCCTTACCTCTTGGCCTGAGCAGTTGCCGGCGAGATCCTAACCTCCTTTCAGAAAGTGTTGTGATGACTGCAGGTCATGTCATCATTCCTTCGAGTGAGCATGTGCCTGAGGGCATGTGTGCAACACGCCACAGTCTCCTGCAGCCAATGTTGCCCAGGTGCCACAGCGAGACCTGCCGGATCCACAACCGGTACAACAGAGAGGCAGATGGAATCATTGGCAGCATGAAAATTGAAACTGTCACGCCTGATATCTTCTACGAACTCTTTCGTTGTTCCCTCAGTCTGTGCTGTGCACTTCGGCGGGTCTGGATTTTCCATGATTTTCCGCTCGCAATGCATTGAAGGCTTCACCCGCCGCAGTTGACGTTGACTACGACGGATCTCCGGTGCACGCAGGCTCGATTCACCCGAACAAATGACCCAAGCTGTTGAGGAAGCTGTGGCAGGTTCCCCACGGGACCAGATTACCGTGGCCTTCGGGACAGGGGAGGTAACGGGACAGTTCGTACAAGACAGGCCGGGATCGTGTGCAGCACGGTTCCGATATCTTTCGCCTTCCCAGGCTCTGCCTTGGATCGCATGGAGCTGCCCCCACTGCCCCGGCCATCGCACCTGGCCAAGCCTTTCGCTGCACAGTGGCCTGAGCTCGGCAGTGTCTCCAAGCGACATAGTCTCACAGTTACTGTTGGGTGCTTTCCCACTGGGCGTCTGCCTTCAAGGCAGTGCCCTCCTACACAGAGCCGCTGCTGCTTGTTCAGTCGCCGACCCAGACACTGTTCCAGATGTGTGGCGTCCTTTGGCATCCCGACCAGTTTGCCATTGCTAAGCACTGCCGGGGTCTGTCCTCTGTGGGCTCTGGACCCAAAGCGTTCTCAGGTTCGAGAACAGCCTCCAAATTTCAGCTGCAAATTGTGCCATCCAAGACGGGTTGTTCTGAGGTCTGGAGAAGCCGAGCTGGGAAGAACTCCGAGCGCACAAAAAGGCTGCAAGCCCAGCATGCGATAGAAAACAGGACCTGCCGCGAGTCGCAGACTACGATCTCTGCATCGTTTCCGCGTATGTTGCAGAGTTGGTGCGGAGTTCCGACGGAAAGCAGGAACTGCAATCAGTTCTGCGGGCTGGGGTTCGGATCCATGATGTTCTATGACATGCTGCCTTAGATACTCACAAGAATTTCTGCTTGAAGCCGCTGGACTGTTCAATGCCAAAGTTTCGTACTGGAACTTGTGAACAGCTGCTGCTTGACCTGGCATGCAGCATGATGGAACCCGTGCGCGAGGCCAGACCAAGACCCTTGGCAATGCATCCAACGCGGTGCTTCTCAGCCAAGCGGGGTCCCAGCAAATTTTGTCACGTCCATGCACCACTCTTGTGTCCATGACATTGTGGTTCTACTGCGGAGCTTAGCCACAGATCGACCGAAACTCTTCAATCATCTATTGCCACACACAAATTAGCATACTGCGAAATTAGGACTGTCTGCAACAGCCAAAGCAATGTCTAGCACCAGCATGTCCCCTTGAAGTGTCCTAGGCCCTGAACTGCGTGGACCTCCGAGTAGTCATGGCCACGGAGGCCGGCCGAGACAGCGCAACGATGCCGGTTCCGGCTTGGCTTCAAGCCACCCCCCGAAGCGCACAGCACGGCACGTGGAAGCATGCAGCAAGTCTTCTTCCCAGATCCCGTCCGTCCTTCGAGTCTGGCACCGTAGCGGGAAACTGCAGACGCGAACATCGAAGATCGCACCTCAAAGCCTGGAGCCTCTGCCCTGAGGTCACAGTCGCAGTAATCAGTAAACCCCGAATGTGGAACCGTGACAGCACTTTGGGCCACAGTCGCAAAGCCTAAACCCTTCGAGATGAACAAACTCTACAGAATGGACTGCCGCCAGATGACGGAAGAGCCTTTCCACGCTTTTTCCTTCGATGGGGTGTTGGGCCTGGGGCTGCGACCTTGGCGAGCTGCAGGGCCGTAAGACGAATCCTGGGCCTTCTTGCTGATGCATCTGCTTGATGTCGTTTTTGGGGCTCAAGCAACTAGCCTGTACATGAAATGGGCCCCGGCCACGAAGAGGCAGCTGCTTCATGGCATGGGATAGTACTTCTGCTTATTTCTGCTTCAGGCATGTGTCATCATATGAGGGATGTTGCTGAGCTCCTGGACAGCAGAACGGTGGCTGATTCCAGTCTGCTCTCATACTTGCATCGTTAGAATGATGTGCTCCGAAGTGCAAATACCTGATGTCAATGTACCCTTGCCAAACACGACGGCTTGCCTCCCGCCCAGACCCGGTCATGGTGCCAGACAGAGGCAGGAATCGCGGCAGGCACTCATCCGTCTTACCAAGGCTGGGAACTGCGGGGCTTGCAAATTCTTCACACCGAGAGTACCCATCTGTTCAATTCTATCAGGTTCCTGTCAAAATCCAATCTGCTTTGCTCACCATTGGCAAAGTTCCTGAAGCCTTTGTTGACAGATGAGGGTGGATCCTCCATTTCTCACCTGCTGCGCACATGGTCGACTGCCGGTCACTCCTCGTCGTGTGTTCACGGACTTTTGAGACCCTGCCTCGCATGCTGACAGGAGATCAAAAGCTCCAGGAGTTGGGAGACCGCTCTGCAGCCAGAAGCCCAGCCCCACCTCAGGGTCCCAGATCCGCAATCTGCGAATCACACGCGCATGCCCTCACGTCATGTTCTTTGCGAGCCTCGTAGCAAGACCGACAGGATACCCGTGTCGCGTTTTGCTCATCATATCCTGGAATCACAGCAATGTACATGCTGTGGATGGCGTAGGGTTAGAGTCGTAGGTGTACTGTACGCTTGGCGAAAGATCTCAACACCAGCTAGACTTAGCCGGATGTCAAGGTTACTCCAAGATGTGCTGCCGACGGTCTCTGTTGACCTCATCGTGGTGTCGTCAGGCTTGAGCACTTGGACGTTGTCCTGAGCTTGTTTTGCGGTTGGTGCCAAACAAGGCATCGGAGCCTGCGCAAAGGGCCAGCAATGGCGCCAAGCACTACGCGTTCTCGGCCTCGCCAGAGGGGCAGCCTTGGAGTCGGACCGAGTTTTCACAGACAGAACGAGAAATGACGAGAAATGACGGAAACGATGAGTGTCAAAAGTCTTTAAAGGACCTCCAAAGCATCAGTGCCACGATCACGGCCTGCGAGAAGTCTGCTCGCTGGTCTCCCGCAGCTCGACCTGCGTTTTAAGCTTGGCTTCGGTGTCTTTGGCTCCGGATTCTCTTGTCAGCTTTGATGCTGTTCGTGACTGCCCAGGCACTCCGCTGTATGGATTCCTTGCTTTGCGGACAATTGGAGACGGATGCTGTCGCGTTCAGTGCGGTGGTGAGCGCTCGCAGCAGCAGTCAGACCTGCCAGCGCGACTTTAAGGCTTTGAAGGCTTGGCGAGACATTTCCGACTGCAGGTCTTCCGCCTGGGTTAGCCTAGATGTTGATGCCGGTTCCACTTTCGAGTCCGCTTTCAGCCCGCTTGGGGCCGTTCTGCCCGAGGTGCTTGTGGTCAGGGCAGTGCTTGGGCACGGGCTCTGTGCATTTTTGCCACTGCAGCTTTGGGTGCCATCGCGTGCCTTCTGCGAGAAGTCTTACAGTTATACGGGGCTCGATTTCGAAAGCGATCTGTCAAGGAGCGACAGGAGTCAGAAGGCAATGTTGGGAGTCCTGAGGGGTTCGTCCGGCACCTCTCACACCTGCTGCATACCGTCTGCACCATGAACCGATGGTACTGCCAGGTGCAACTCCGCGATCTCTGGCTGTGAGCGTGCCGGGCGGTGGCAACCTGCCCTAGAGACTCTTCAAAGCGGTTTTCACAGGATGCGACAGATGGAAGCCTAAGCCCCGGCTTGAGCGAGAACGCCTTGCAGGAGACTCCCACCCACGATTATTGGATTCAATGCCGCGATAAGCGCGTCGGACGAGGAAGGTTCAATGCAAGGGATGCTTGAGGCTTCCACGGTGTTGTGATCACCAGCCAGCAGGATCAGTAGTATCTCATGCCACACTGCCATCAGTATTTCTGCGTGCGGCCTCCTGTCTGCTGGGTGCTGTAAAGGAAGCCGCTGCGAACCAGCCTTGTTTTGCGGCAATGATGCTCAGTACCTTCAGGATCAGTGGCAAAGGTCCTGCTCCCTCTTCACCTCGCTTCTTGAGGCGCAGGGGCGGTCTTGTAGGGCACTTTGCTAGGCGTCCTTCGATGTTACCAGCCCAATCTGCTTTGCTTCCTTGATCTTCCTTGCAGCTGCAAACATCCGGAAGCCAAGGCTTATAAGGATTCGTCATTCCGATGCGGCAGATGCCGAGCATGTCGTTGCCTGAACAGAACCGAAGATGCTGAGCTCTTACTGCACAGCATCGATGCCAACGAGCTGCCAAGCCTTCCGTCTGATGTGGTGCTGTCTGAATGACTCTCCGGAATTTCGCTCAGCCGAGCCGTCGTTGTACACCCCGCAACAAGTTCGGCGCCAGGTTCCGCTGGTGCCCAGCATCGTCAGTTTCGGTGCGGCTGCCTCTTCGCTTGCCGCCGCGCATAGGTGGAGGTGACTCGCTGCGTGCAGCACTTCAGACAAGGTGCAGACATTCAAAAATTTGGAGTCGTTGCTTAGTGGCTGGAGCCAAAGGTTAGAAGGTTACTCGAGAGAAATCAAGAGCGAAAGGCGGCACCTCCGATGCCCGTAATGTGCAGGAGATCGCTTCATGTTCTCGACCAGTTGAAGCACTGGGAGGCTGGGATCGGGTACCCCTTGCGCACGAAGTGATGCATTCTGCTTCAACTGAAATATCAGTCGTGAGCGCAGGTTTTTATTCACCCGTCGGATTGATTTCGAACGTTTCTTTTGCATCCACTCCGGGCCGCCGTAGATTCGTTTCCATGTGCTCGTACACGTGGCTGATGATTCTGATCAGCTGGGAGCCAGAAAGGTGCCTGCCAATGTCGTAGTCTTCAATGCCATACTGAGCAACATGGCCGCAACATGAAACCTAGCGGCTACCTAGAGCAGCTTTCTGTAGATCTATATATAACATGCACTACAGGTACAGCAGAAGCCTGAGGTGGGGAATGAGCTATAACTATAATCCAGCATCCAATCCTGTCCGTAAGGTGCCCTGACAGCGGCGCGGAGGCCGGAGCTTGCAAGAAGTCTCCTGGGCGTCATGCGCGGAAGGCGAGAAGGGAGCGCAATGTAAAGTCTATGATGGTGTTTGCGTGGGGTCGCATTGGAAGAACCTCGTCGTTCCAGGAGTATCGCACCAACGGTGATCAGCCGCTCGGCCCCCGAGTGACAAAATGCAGGTTTTTCCCATCGCTAGTGCCATTCACTCTCAGCGTTTTTTTTCACGGCTGCTTCGGGCCTTCAACTGAGACCCCATACAAAGCTGAGGCTACAACAGCGCAATAGCCGCATGCGAGTCTGTGGGAGCGTGGGAAGAGGCCTGGCATTTGCTGCAGCCTGACGGCATCGATGCAACAACAATTGCAAAAACGATCCGCACCGCGAATCCTTGGGTCACCAGAGCACGGAGGAGCATCCACGAGGCTTCTCCTTGGTAAATGAACCGATGCCGTAGCATGCAGGACCTGCCTGTCGGGTCATGGCATTTCAGAGTTTGGGAAGGCATGGGAAGGCAGCGGTCATTTCACCTGCCAAGGATGGAGATGAAGAACAGGGGACTCCTTCCAGATTTGATCAGTGCTTCGGCCTCACTGAGAGAGGAAGATTGAGAAACGGGCAGAGGCTCCAGCTTGCTCCAGCATATTTGTCGCAGCGGGGGGAGTTTCACTCTCGTGAGGCGAAAACAGGCTCGAGCGTCAACAGTTGAAGCTTCACGCATGTGTGTTCGAGGACATTATTTGAGCTTGTCATGAAAAGTCACTGCAGTTCCCCCATCAGGCGGAACTACTTATTTCGATCCAGCCTCGGAAAGCTCCTGAGCCTCCAAGCGCCTAAGCCCCCAGCCTAGGCAGCCTTAAGTGCACGCAACCGCCTGCAACGCTCCTAAGTGCGCTAGCGTCTCAGCGACTAAGACTAAGATTTAGAGGCTTAGAGACGTGCCGGCAGCCAGGGCCGGCATAGAGGCTTAGTGCAACGCCAAGAGACGCCGAAGCGCCGAAGAGCGGCCAAGTGCGCCTACAAGCGCTTCAGCGCGCCTATATAGGCTCCTAAGAGCGAGAAAGCTTCCAACAGCGCCCAAGCGCATGACAGCGCGTCAACATAAGCGTGCATCTAAAAGTTATGCCTTGAATCCGTCGGAGGCACTTCGACAAAGTTGCCAAGCGTGCATCTCAACGTCAGACCCGCTTTGCCCACACGATGGAAGAAGCATGCTTAATCTGAAACACTCACACTATTACACCTTCACCTTCTCATGTGCCCTAAGGCCCTAAGGTGCAACGGTTAGGCCTCGGCAAGGGGCAGAATTGACACACGCAGCCAGGAAGATTCACCGTCTTGGAGTGGCACCCCAAACTTGGTAATTCCAGGTGTGTGTTGGTTTCATTTGGGGGTTCAGCTTGTGCTAGGTCCTCGTGTAGATTGTGTTGCTGGAGACACGACAAAACCACACACCCAACATCAAACTGACCCCAAAAGAGTGTGTGCCAATTTGCAAATGATTTGGTCAACGTTTCTTGGTTTTCTGCGTTTTGGGTCTGAGGTTTCAACAGTGCCATCAGCTGCTGCCAGCTGAGCGGCAACTGGCAAATGGCCTCTCATTTCTTGCTCTCCTTGCGAAAAGCGGAGCTTGCCCCAGACCTTGCCAGCACCTGGGAATGAAACAGAGTTCTGGAGATATCGGCACTGGTTCGGCAGCTTTGGTTTCGCAGCTTAGCTTCTGTTTCAGAACTCGCGTGTGCGGATTTCCGGCCAAAGGCAGCCTCACCATACCTGAGACCAAAGTGCCACCTGACTCAGGCTTTGGCGCATTGATTGGGGCTTGTGCTGGCGTCGGACAGTGGCAGCAGGCACGTTGGTCGTGAGGGCCGATTCCTCGGACATAATCGGACGTTCATGGACGTCCTTTCAAGGGTTCAGCGTCTTCGACCCTACGCGTTAGGCTGTAACACAAGCTCAGGAAGCTTGAGCGTCTGTGCCCCACTGCCAGTAAGTGATGGTTCAAATCCTGGTCTGTTACAACCTCTCTAGATCACGCGGCTGTTGCTGCTGCTGCTGCTGCTGCTGCTGCTGCTGCTGCTGCTGCTGCTGCTGTACTGCATCCCATTGGCACTGCCGAGCACATGCCGAGTCATTCCAATTCCTGAAGGGCTGTGAATCTTACACACGTCGCTTCGACTGCGTTTGGCGTAAGCGTGTACTCGTGCCTCGCGCGGCATCAGAAATCAGAGTGAGCCCCGCGACCAAGTCCTGCTCCAGGCTTTGGCATTTGTCTCTTCGATGAATATGTACCAATTGGTGCCTTGCCCTTTCCGGGGAAGGGGTGCAACTAACACTTTCGGTTCAAGTGTTCGCAGGTTGGCTGCGAGATGAATTCTCACTCGTTGAGGAAGTCGTGCATCAATCGTTTAGAGCACTGTCAATCTGTCATTCTTCTAACTTCTAAATGTCGAACGGACAATGGCCAATGACAACTGCTGCATGTGGAGAGGTACCGAATCTGTTGACGGTCAACTCCGTGGCATCAGCATTTGAGACGCTCGGAAAACTGGACTCGAAGCAGAAGGTGGTCGGGCGAGAGGTACTGCATTTGTAGCTGAAGGCCAGTTCGGAGGAAGTTCAGACCTGCGGCGTATCACGGCCTCTCATAGAGAGTGCTCAGTTGGTGGTGAGAACATGAGAGTATACAATACTCAAGGAAAGCTTGCATGCTGGACTGAGAGGGGCAGCTGTCGTTTGTTGTTTGTTTGTCGCGTCATCGCAGCACTACTCGAAGTAATCTGCCAGAGACGAAGTCAGAATGTAGACCTCATGCGATCCAGGAAAGGCTGCCAGTGGCAGCGTGTGCTGCAGCTTTTGATGTATGACCGCGACCTCATTACCTACAATTGCGCGCCTGGGCTGCGCCCTCCATGGACACCGGACCGGTAAGCGCCAGTTTCAATATGTTTCAATGACATCCACTTCATAGCCTTTGTTAGCTGGCTTTCTGCGAGGCGCTCCTCGCATGCCAAAGAGCTGGCCAATGGCGGGCAGCTGCGCAACTGCTGGCGACGATGGAAGAGGCGCAGTGTCTTGCGATGTGAGGACGGCTCTTGTGCTTGGAGGCTTGTAGCAGAGGCCGCACATTCAACATCTTTGTCCACTTGAGAGCCGGTCTCTAATCAATTCAGAAGCAGATACAGGCAGCTTCGCAAGTGTGCCTTGAGCTGCAACACCTGCCCCGAGGCCCGTGTGCAGGCAGACCTGGTGAGTCTCTTGTGAATGATTATGGTAAGGCCGACTGGGACAAAGGATTGCATGGACCACACTTTCCAAAAATCCGTGGAGGTTTTCCAGCACGTCATGTGAAGTAAAGTGAGTTTCAGAGGCTTCTGCGGTCTTGTTCTTTTCACTTCACCGGGCCAAAGAAGAGTCGAGTGGCTAAGGTTTCAACACTGCCGGTCTCCTGTGTGAGCGACACGGTTGCTGGGAATGGCTCGAGGCCCACTGGATCTCCTCTATTCAATTCGTCGCTTCTTTACAGAAGGGTTTGCATTTACTGCGCTTCTCAGGTGTGCCTGGGTCGACTTGCAGACATGCTGCAGCAGGAGTTGGTAAAGACGGTGAGGCTTGGACCTCCTCACAAGGCTGCACGCCGTCGTCGAAAAAAGAACGGCAGATGAGAGATGGGACACTTCGGGAGGATCTCCAAGAGTCGGGGGATCCTTCTGAGGTTGGATAGTCTGGCTTTGGCCCCGCAGCATCCCTGCCCTGTTTTTGCTCGAGCTCAGCCCTGTTGCGGCTTTATTACGGTTGTATGACAGGTTCAGCTTCTTCGGGATGATGGCCAAGCAAGTCGCCCTGGAGCATCCCAGCTTCGGTCGGGCGTCCAAGGTTTCTCCTTGATGGGAACACGAGCTGCGAGCTCTTGGAGTTTTTGCTCGTGTGATCTTTCCTTCCAGATTCCATTTCCATGACAACGCACTCTACTCAAACAGCAGACTTGTGGAAGGCGTGTTCTTGGCAGACACCGACGCGGAGGTCAGCGAGATCTCCTTTGGCGGATCTTCGGAGGCGGACCTTTAGGGAGAGCGCCTCAGAGCACGTGCCGCTCCGATGGCAGGACAAAGTGGCCTCTCCCATGACTTGGGCGCCAGTGGCCTTGCCGGACCTCGGCTATTGGCAGGCAACGCGGTCAGAGAAGTTCATTATCGCTTGGATCACATCATGCTATAAGCAGGTGGAGATCAAGGCAATCCGCATCGGTGACAGGTCCGACATTGGTGACACATCGTTGGAGCGAGTGTTGGAAGCTGTGCAGGGTCGATACGGTCAGCACAGCAGAGTCTGGCATTGTAGCACGCTCCGGCATGTTGATTCCGTCTTCACCCAGACTCCGTCTTCGTGAGGACTCTAGACTACTGTGCTGATGGCCAGTGCCGAGCGGTTGTGGACACCGGCCGGGAGCTACGGTACACGACATGCACGGCAAGGAAGAAAATATTTGCACTCTCCTCGCATGCTCTTGTGAACCACAGTTTAAAGAAGCAGTGCAAGGCACCTCGCTTCTTGCAGTTCCAGAAGACTTTGCAGATGGTCTGCAGGAGGTCCACTGCCGTCCAGTTTCGTAGGAGGTTAGAGGAATGGCCAGACTTGCGCCTCGGAGCAGAGCCTTTCTGAAGGCCCTTGAGCACGGGCTAGAGGATCCGGACCAAGGTCCCGACGGAGGCCGGAGCTTTGAGTTTCAGCATGTCCTCCGGCCGGCATGAGTCACGACACTCTGGCACTGGCGAGGACCTCGATTTGCTGTGCTCTGCGTTTGTTTGGCTTAGCGACTCACAGCTTTGCAGCATGCGTCCGACTTGCTTCCCCGATCCATGGCAGCTGCATGCGAAACATAGAGCAAGCAAGTGTTCAGGATGACTTTGAAAGCTTATCGAAGCAGGTGAATCCTTCAAAGTTCAGAGCTTGAAAGCACCGGGAACACAAAGCGTTTTCCACTTTCCACCGGGTTTAGCCGCCATGACAGAGATTCTCGGCCAGTGCCCCAGCTCCGGCACAGGGCTCGGGCGCGAGAGTCTCTCACAGCGTCCAGGTGGCTTCGTGAAGGATGCCTTTCCGGAGCTGTTTGTGGAGGGCCAGGCAGTCCTTGCTAAGTGCTTTGCTTGTAGCATCTCTCCCAAATGCCTCGGCCAACCTGCACCATCCTGCACCGCTGGGCAGGTTGTCTCAGCAGAGCAGAGTTTCCATAGAAGACTTGCTGAGTACGAGATGAGCCGGAGCTGCACTTGGTGGCGTGATGATGTAAACACTTTGAGGTATCGAACCTAGAGGGAACTTAAATGCACTAACATGTAGGAGTGCCTGACCACTTGCAGTTGGCCTTGTGGGCAAGGAAGGCAAGCAGGCCAGCATTCGGCAGCAAACTTCGAAGCTCTCAACCCGATTGCAGAACCAGAATGCTTGGCCATGTTCTGAAGGAGCGTAGTGACAACAGTGCAGATCACCAGTGTCGGACAGCGTTGCGAGATGTCAGCGGCTGGTCAATGTACTCGTGCTGTCCTTTTTCGCATCGCCCAAGGAATATCGAGCAGCAGAAGCTGTTTCGCGAGGCAGCACTTAGACGAGCACTCGTCGTTTATCTCGTTCAATATGACCTCAGGACTTGAGAGACCTTGTCGAGCTGACCGTTGGACGTGCCTGCCTGTGGCAGTATCACGACGAAGTGTCATGTTCAACCTGTCCTGCAGGTCTGGGGAAGGCCCTGTATGAGATGAGAGAAAATTATATCAGTGCTGCATGTTGGTATTCTCAGGCCTCCGAACAGAACACTGTTGCCTTTGCTTCGACCGCTGCGTGGCGCCCGAATTCCGCCAAGGAATGGATGTTTACCATCTGGTTGGCGCATTGCTCCTGGAGCGGCAGCCTGAGCAGACCCCTGACAGAGAGCTGCAGCGCAGTCCTCATACTTACTGCAGCGCATTGAGTTGTAGCTATCCTGAACCGGGTGCAGGAAGTTTCTGCATCACATACGGCAAGTCTTCTTGGCCTGTGTGATCTAGGCCCCCTAGGCCCTAGGCCACACCTGCCAAAGTCGTCATGGCTTGGTATACATCGTCCACAGGGCAAAGATTGAAGCACCGCACCCTGCGAGACTCTGTGCAGTTGAGGTTTTGCATCCATTTTTACTGCGAGAACCGGATGATCGAGGTCAGCCAGCTAGGAATCTCAAGAAGTCATCCAAGGATTCTCACACCTAAGGTCTCGTGCTCTCGTTCTGTACTTAGCTGCATAGCTTTGCCGGCTGCCGACAGCAAGCGATCGCGAGGAAGCCGGGGAGAGTCAGTCCAAAGCATTCCTGGTGGTGCCTTGGCTGTCTCTGTCTTGCTTTGGGGATCATGGGATTCTCATGGGTCATGGAGATGTACTGTAGACCAGCAAGTAGGAGGAGTGGACCCCTCAATCAGTATCTGCCCAGACTGCCCCAGTCTGAGGTGTTTTTTCTTCTCTCCAACCTCAGACAGGCTCTCGGAGAGTTTCGAAGCGACGGCCCTTTCGGAGCCTTCGTCCCGACCGAGCCGCCCAGCTCTGAGGTGCCTGCGGCTTCCTGATCTTTTCCGTGTCAGGGCCTTAGACGCGCAGCTAAATGCAGTGGGCGTTCCCATGCGTTACCCAGCTTCCAAGCTTAAGGTGGCTGTCCATGCACGCTTCGGTGGCATCTCACTCGATCGGCTCCTGGCTGAGACCAAAATTTCCAAAATGCGAAAGGCTCCACCTAATGCATGTGTTTCGAAGTGTAAACGCCGGGCGAAGTCCTGACACGAGCACGAGCCTGTATGAGAGAACTTAGGAACATCCAGTGATGCAGTGAACATGCGGTAACATGCGATGATGCCATGCGCAGGATTTAGAACTCAAGGAGCTTCAAGCTTCCTAAAGCATCGTCACGTCCTCGAACTGGAAATCTAATCCGGTGCGCTGAGCCGTCTGTTGATCTCTACTGACTTGGCGATTGAGGCGTGCGCTTGCTGACCAGCTTTGCGCGTCTCTCCATCCCCACGCGCAAAGAGTTGGAGGAGGCAGGCCTCTGGTATCCACTGTGTAATTGTATATAGGTTCTCTTGGAAAATCCTTAAGCGATGCCCGAGCACCCAGCACGGCCCCATGGTTTTTTGTAGACTTTCGTGTTTGATTGGCGCAGTCACTTTCGAATATGACCCCGAAGGTGGCAAAGGTCCCCTTGGTGCCAATGCCCGGGCCCTGCGTGCTGCAAGTCGCGCAACATCGTGTTGCCTTGCCGTCGCAGCTCCCAGCCACGCCGCTACGCCCTCCATCGCCCTCGCCCAGGATGGAGCGGTTCCGGCAGCTCGGGAAGCGACTAGGAGTGGCGCAGGCGGGTCAGCGAAGAGGTGCCTTGCAAAGTTTTCTTCATGTTTCTTCTTTTGAAGGGCCGAGCTGGCGAGGGGTCGTCTGGCGATGGCGATGGCTCCGAGTCTCGGGAGGCACACAAGATCACTCCAGTCTCCTCCGTTGATCTGTCTATGCGCAGCGGGCAGGAGAGAGAGGGAGCGACACATAAGGAGGGCAAGACGAAATTCGGGCTGGGGTCGAGTCCAGCCGGAGCGAGGGACTTTGCGAAACGCTGGACGTCTGTAATCCCAAGCTGACAAGCAAGCAAGCAAGAAAAAACGATTGCTTCCCCTGTATGTCTTCCGAAAGAAAGAAGGAAAGCCCAAAAAGAGATTCAGAAAAGAGGAGAAGAGCTTTGGACAGATGGTCACACTTTCCCGGGTGAGCTCGGAGGCAGCAGTGGCGGCTGTTCGGCAGGAGACTGTAGACCTCGCAAGGCCAGGGTCTGCCCAGGAGTTGGTTGCAATTGCAGGTGGAGGCCGTTAACGGTTGAAAGACTTGCAAGCAATTTTGATACCTCCAGCGACTCCTCCGACTGTTCGCCAAGGGCTGCCGCCGGATTGGGGGCCGTGGCGCGTCAGCCTGAGTAGCCAAGTCAGAGGCTGCTGCATGTATTGCGTCTTGTTATGCGTGGCTGGCTCTGAATTTTGCCAAGGAGTGATCTGGCCATCCAGGAGGGGGCCAAGGTGGCATATGCCGAGACACGAATGGATCAGTCTTCCAGCTGCGATCAAGTGCAGGATGATGTAATCGCCAACCCTGGGGTCAATGGCGTCGGTTGTTACTCGCAAGTATCAACTGTGCCATGAAGCGACAAGCATGTTAGATGGACTAGGAAATGCAGCCTGTCTGCGGGCCACGCGTATGCAATTGACGTGTTATGGCTTGTCAGCAGTGCCGGCAGCAGGCGTTGTCCGACAGGGAGTTTCACTTTCGTCGATTCCTCAAGGACCGAAGTGGGCCTCGTAACACGCGAAGTCGAGCAGAAGTCAATCAGGGTATGTCTGAGTACAGGATTTCGGACGGATGGCCGATTTTCCTAAAACACTAGGAGCGAAAAGGCACTCCACCCATTTCTGACGGCGGGGCCCGATTCAGGAAAACTAATTCGGCGAACCAGGCGGGTCGATTCAGACAAACAGGCCGCCGTTTCAGAAAACACTCAGTTGAGGACCAACTCAACATTTTTAAAGAGCATAGTCGCATCATGCTGCTGCTGCTGCTGCTGCTGCTGCTGCTGCTGCTGCTGCTGCTGCTGCTGCTCCTCCTGTTGCACAGCCTCTTGTAGTTGGCGAACCTACGTCATTTCGTTGAGGGGTTGAAGTTTGCTACCCGAGATCTTCTTTAAGGGTTTTGGGATTTGCCGACCACGAGTTCCTGTTTCAGGCTTAAGAATGCCAGTCAATATCTTCTTCTTTTGGGTCTTAGTATAGGTTTTGCCCAGGACTATAGTGTAAGTGCATGGTGCAGAGAGCGATCTTCTTTCACGGTTGGGGTTTTCGCGGTTGGGGATTTGTCAACCAATGTCTTTTTGGAGTTTGCTTCTTGGCAACCGGTATCTTGTCGCGGGGTGTTGGTGTTAGGCTTAGGGTTTGCCAACACTTCCCTCTGCAGGGTTCAGGTGTATAATGCCACAACGAATAGGGCTCTTCTGACTCTTCTGTTTGAAGCAGCCTGAGTTCGTGAATCTCCGCTGTCGCTAGAAGCTAAGATTCTAATACACTGGGTTCTTGTGCAGGATCTTCATTGAAATCACATATACATGTGTGTATATATATAAACATGTAATGTATGTATATATATATATATATATGTATGTATATACGTACTTTACTTTCACAACCTTGTATAGCTAAAATACAGCGGCTAGCCAGGGAGCCAACTATCCGGAGCGTTTTCTTGTATGGTGGGGGCCCTGCAGCAACCAGTCTTCAAAGTTGAGGATGGTCTCCATTCGGAATTCCAACCTCTGTGGCTGCGATGTGCACTGCGGCTTGAGGGCATGGTCAGAATTTAGGTGCAAGGGTCCAAAACCTAAAACTTGGAAGCAACACACGGCAGCTGCTTCCGGCTCCGGAATCCTGTCATGGTTTGAATTCGGCTTTGCCACCCGAAGACCCGAGACACGCAAGCGCTGCCGTTTGAGCTGTCGCTTGTTTTCCTGAACCGTTGCTGCTGTTTTGCGGCCACATCCCTTTTCTCCTCACTGCGCAGTTCTTGTGCGCACTTCGTGAAATCCTCATGTGAGACACTCTCAGCTTAAGTCCTTCCAGAGGTGCGCGATGTTTTGCGGTTTAACATCTTGCTTGGGAGGCAGTACATCCAAGAAAGCCTGCGCCTAATAATTGCAGAGTTTGTTATCTGCGGACGTACCTGCGCTTCTGCATTACAAGCAGAAACGGGTTCCAGCTTCGCCCGTGCAATTACCTAGTTTGTTCCTGGTGTAGATGACTCACCAGTGATGGGCCTCATGGCCTGTTTGTCTATTGTCGTTTTGCTAGAGAATCAAGACTTGGTCTTCAGGAGCAGCGTCGATGGCTGTTTTACGATGCATATGCGCGGATCTGCATGGCCTTGGGCCGGAGCCCCAAACACCAAAGAAGGCTTTGCAAAGAATGCTGCCAGTGAAAATCGGAGGAACAAGCCTGAGTCACATACTGGCGCTCTGGATAACGCGCTGTCTAGGCCTCCAAGTCATCCTGGACGAAATCCGCGGAAAGATGTCAAACTGTGCTGATTATGCGGGAGCATGCATGCAGTGTGGGGTCGGGTGCAAGCACCTCAGCATAACTAGCGACCCTGCAGGCCTCGTTTGCAGAGACTTGTGAGCAGCCTGAAGCTTGCATGTGCATGTTGCGAAGGGTTCGCCACCATTTAAGTTTGTGTCTGTCATCAGCTGTATACCATCATCATCTGCCTTTTCAGTGTTTAAGGGAAAGCACAAGTGGCGCCACGAATTAGTCTTGCCTTTCCTCGGCCTAGCCCCGCAAGAACGGCTAGTCTGACATCGTCCCTGACTTGCCCCAAAACGCATGACTGTCTCAGGTATGAACCAGTTGCTCTGCGCACTGTCATACTACATCCTCGGAGCAATCGCCGAGGAGGCCGAGACAGTGACAGGATCTCGTGGGTGGCCATGTCTTGAGGTTTTCTTTGTGAAGTTTCCTGCGGCAAGCTGTCCGTGTCCTATACGAGCAGGCATTCCCAGATGCCTGAGCATCGCAGCTCCTATGACTCAGTCAGCCTACATGAACTGAAGCGCAAGCAATGGCTCAATGCCTGGATGCAAACGAACACAAACGCGCAAAGATGAAATGGCTTCTCGGATCGTTCATCACATCGAATCTGCCTTGCCGCCTTGGACAGACTCCCTCCGGTGCTGCAGTCTCTCTTTTCGGTGTTCAGTGCTTGTCGAGACCTTAATGCTGCACAGAAAGCCGCCGCACGGTTTCACGGTTTCGGTTTCGGTGAAGACAGGCAGACGCGCACCATTGCTTGCCCAAAATTGTCCATATGAGGCCTGACTATACAGGGGCGTTCATTGGATAGTCCAAGGCTTGCTACCGTTTGACCCGTTAACGCTGTGTAGTGCCCTGATATTTTGCTGTTGAGTTGTGCTGACTAAGGGCTCTTCTTCTTTTGCGACTGGACGTCGCGGAAGGCCTGGCACCACGCTCGAAAGTGGCCAACTGTGTCTTCTGGGTCCTCGCGAGGTCGTGTGCAGAGTTGGGGCGGAGTCATAATGGTGTCGGTGCCCTGGATCGTACGTGCTGACCCTGCCACAGCCTTCAATCGGACTGTGGAGTCAAGAAATCACGAAGAGCGTTCCAGCCGAGGCTAGTTTGCATGTCCTTCCCGCCCATGTACATGGGAGCCTCGGACCAGCAAAGTAGAGTTTCACTGCCCACTGGCTCCAGAATTTTAGTTCATGGTTCCTCTGTGCTACACCGATGCGCATCGGCTGAGGTGTACTGATCCACTTCGTTGACGCGGCGTCCGTGTCGCCCTTGAAGCATAGCTTTGCCTTTCTGGGAGTTTCGGAAAGTTCCGAGGTCAGGACAGTCGAGTTCCTGGCGCTCCCTGCGTTCATCCTCCATAGCGTCAGCTGCCTAGCTGAGTGCAGAAGGGCCACAGCGGTACTGGTAGCAACAAGTCACGAGTGCACTCTTGCTGACAAGCTTTGTCCATGAGATGTGGATGTTGCTCATCGCAGCCTACCTTGTGCCTGGCAGCATGGACGAGGCTCAGCAGCTTGAACATGGGCTGAGATTGTGTCGTGCGGATGCAGGATGCCGTTACCATGCCACATCCCGAATCGTAATATCTGCATGCGTCTCGGCGATGACACTGCCTCGTGTGCGAGTGCGAGGGCTTGCCCAAGCAGCTGCGAACGGTTCTCTACTTGGACGTGTTGCACCTCGATCAGACAGTTCTGCTCTCAGACCTTGCAGAAAGGTTCTTCATTGGCATTGGGCACTGTCTTCAGAAAGAAACAAACACGTGTTAGCGACTTGTGCAGCAATCCTCGAAGCTCTGTGGACTGACGTGCCAGCAGGAAATCGCCGACGAGATAGCAGCGCAGCACCAGAAGGCCGAATTGCTGCCCGACTAGCAGCCAGCAACTGGCGTAGCAGGGATTTTTGCAGAAGAGTGTTCTGCTAAGATGATTCCGGTCTCGGAGAAGCCCTCGAGAATTGTCCTTTCAGTCTCGAGGACAGTCTCGCCGGACTCCAGGAGGCCAAGATGGGATTGCAGCAGGCCTACGAAGATCCTGAGATTTGCAGTCCAAACTTGCTGGTTCATGCTTGTCTCGATCAGCTGGGTGTGGCAGGCGATGCGCACAATCTTGGAGGAGGAGGCCTTATGGAAGCTACACAGAAACACAGAGCGCTGTGTCTCCGGCACTGTGAGTCGTGATTCTGAACCTGTTCGGTCCACGAAGTCCCTGTGGACGAGGCATCTGATGGCACAACCTCCAGCAGCCGCAGGAAGGGGGAAGAGCTTCTGGAGTTGGAGGTGCAACAGACGCAGATTGCTGAATGCGTGGTGCACGATGGACTTTCCTGGCTGTACTCGTTGCTTTGTACACTTCTTGACACGGTACAATAAATGTCGCAAGGATAGACATCTTGTTGCAAAAGCTCCTTGCCAAGGGGCTTCTTCGACAGGATTTTGTTGAACTGTTCCTGTTACGATTGCGCATACTGCGCGGCTTACCACATGTTTGATTGAAGATCCGTGCTACGCTCGTTGTCTTTATGTTTCTGTCTCTCACGTCGACTTGCCAATATACAGCTAGTTGAATGATACACTCAGGTACGAAGTACTGCAACTGCAGCTCTGTACTCGGCACGTCTGCATGTTTGGGACGTCATGGGAGACGACGAATCACAGTCTACCTCCGTAGTCGTTTCCTCTTGCGGGAGAGGCTCAGACAACCGTCAGCGGGGCTTCTTCAGTTCCGAGACGGCGAAAATGCGGAGCCCTCTTCCGCCTCGTGACTTGAACTTCCTTCTTGAAGGTCAAAATAAGACAGTTCCCGAACAAATACAAAATCGGATGCCGTGGGCTCTTGTGTTGTGCACTGGAGATGTTGGCTTCCAGCGGGAAAGCTTGACTTTTCTGCTCACCGCTCTGGCGTCACTTTGTCCTTTAATATTTAGCTCTTTTTAGGTGTCCGATATATTCCGATATGGGGGGCCCAGTTCAATACTTTCTCCACAGGTTCTTCCACCTTACTCAGCACTTACGGGACTGAGGACTGACATCCTCTCTTCCAGCTATCCATTCGGTTGTTCTTTACATTCATTGTCCTGAACCACACATGAAGTTCAGCTAAATGATTGGGCACGCTGCACGTTCGTACTGCTTCGCTTTCCCAGGGCTGCGTTCATGATCAGAATTCGCATTCGCATTGGACACTAGGCACGCTTCGAACCAAGTTGCGTTCAGGACATGCTTCGCCTCGTCTTGAGATTCCTATTTCGCAGGATCCTCTAAAGTGTTAGTTCCCCCCCCTTGTGTGTGCAGTTGTTAGATGTTAAAGTCAGCTAATGGCAGCTATTACTCCCGCCCGCTCCTCGTCCGCTCCTCGCCCACTGAGACTACCTCCAGAGACTGCCTGGAGTGCCCACCCCCAGAGACTAACGTGAGACTTGCTGGAGTGCCCAACCCCACAGACTACCGTGAGACTTGCTGGAGTGCCCAACCCGGAAACCCCAGGACCTTAACGACAGTCAGTGGTGTGCCCCCGTGGATCGTCGACTGACCTGAATCGAAGCGTGTACGGGGACCCCACGTCCGACACGCCAATCAGTGGTGTGGCCCCATGCATGTGTCGTCGAATGACCTGAATCGAACACTCGTGTTTTGCTAAGTGCGCGGCAGTGCACGGGGACCCCACGTCCGTAACACGGGTCATTGGTGTGGTGTGACCCCATGGATCATCCACCGACCTGAATCGAACACGTGTTGTGTTACGTGTATGGGGGACCCACGTCCGTGTCGCCAGTCGGTGGTGTGACCCCATGGGTCGTCGAATGACCTGCATCGAACACGTGTGTTTTGTTATGCGACCGGGGACCCCACGACCGTAACGCCAGTCAGTGGTGTGGCCCCTATTTTGAATTGCATGTAGGGTGGGGATATTTTCCTGGTGCGCTTACAGCAACTTTTTCGCAACTTTTTCAGTTTCAAGCTCGCTCAAAGTAAACTTTACTTCTGCAAAGACCGCAGGACGTCACTGGTTGCCCATTTGCAGTAATTTCAGGATACCCCAAGCTTTTGCAGATTGTTGGGCTCTTTAAAGCAGCCAAAACGACCATAAGGCATAGCAGACAGGCAAACCCGCTTGAACGTCCTACTGCTCCCGCTTCCGTACCTGGGTGGGGCTTAATGCGCCTTTGAAGAACTTTCACTTGACACGCTTCGCCGTCGATCATGATGGTGGCATTTCCGCCCATCGTCCCAAAACATCTCCATTACACCTACATCTCGACACCAGAATGAACCTGTAGACAAAGCCGTTTCTTTGAGGTACATCTGTTCAAAAAATATGTTCTGCCGCACTCTGCAAATTACCTGATGAAATGTCTCAAGGGTGTCAGCCACAACAGTCCAGTGCGATTCCAATCCATCGAGGAATATGCTGAGAATCTCCACTTGCGCATCTTCTGCACCTGTTGACGAGCTTCGTGATGAGTGAGAACCATGTCCCTGGCAGAAGTATCAAGACGGATAGCCTCCACGGGGGTCCTTGACTTTTGGGTAATGCGCACACTATCGCAAACAGAACAGAAGGGATTGTACTGCTTCTCGTCTCTTTGAGTGAAGCTCACGATCCGCACCTGCTCACGCCAGGCGCGGCTTCGGGCCGAAGTCGCTGAGGCCCGCGTCCTGGACCTGACGGCGTCGGAGCCTCAGCCAGAAAAGGCCAGCAGCAGATTGAGCTGCAGCTTCCATGTCAATCGCCACGAAGCCTTTGTTGAACATGTGCACCTCATACCAA